AATAAAAAAAAAAAAAAAGAAAAAAGAAACAGGCATAATGGCGGCCAAGGAGGCCGGAAGTCAGGTGGAAGTAGCCCTGTTCGTCGTTACCTTGGTAACGAGGAGCAGAAAGCAGGTCTCTCCTCCTGCCCCTGTGGCCCCCAGTGATAGTAGCAGAGGGGACTGTTTTCAGTGCTAAAACCAGACAAAGGTTGTTCTCTTCGACAATAATACGGTATATCAAAGCGGGAGTTGGTACCATTTTATATGGAGATGGGATATACAGTAAAGCCATTCCTTCAAAAACATTTCAGGAAGAAATAGAATTACACAAATTATGTTCCACTGCACAGCAAATCAACAGAGTCAACAGGAATTTAAATACTGGTGTAGGAATCATTACAAGAGACTATAAATCATAATAATACATTAAATTTTGTTTCTCTTTTCAAAAATATTTGAAGTAAATTATGGGACCACTTTCTAAACTATGAATTAAGAATATAAGTCACATTTTAAGGACAAAAAACTAATTATGAAAAATAAATGATGCCAATGGAAGACAGTGAGATAAATCTTAAAATGCATGACTTTCCACTTGAGCAATACTTTTTAGAAAGATTGTAGGTTAATGCTTAACCTTTACGATTAAAACATTAATCAGATATTCTCTGCGTGAATGAAGATTTATAGAGCAATTGCTAGAGAGTAAATAAACTATAAAAATATAATGCGTTGGTTTGACTAGTGTGATAAAAAAAAAAAGCTTCATTTCATTTCATTGAGATTGGCTGCTTTTCTGGGGTAGAGCAATGGCTGATGCCTGTGGTTTTATCACTCCCAGGGAGAAAGTCATCTTGCTAGACAGGGTAGTGCACGCTTACCTGTCACAGCGTGGTCCTGTGTACGCGACGGGGCATTCATCACAGATCAGCCCAAGACTCCGGTCTGAGTGGCAGGTCGGGCTAAAGCTATGTTGACGTCGAGAAACAAGAGGTACAAGGAGAAAGCACATAGACAAAGTCCTTAGCAGCGTATCTGCATTTCTCTTTCTTCATTAGTGCTCTGACAGCAGGGTCCAGGAGGTTATTCTTGGGCCTGACCCATCGAGGATGCAATGACAGTGCTATTTCCGCAGATGTGAGCACAGCCTAGAGGAGAGCAGTGCCCCTGTGACACTGCGGTAGCTGGCGTGGGGCTCTTCTGGGTCTGGGGTCATCAGTGACAAGAGGAACTACTCAGTGGCGTTACAGGGATTCCCTAGGCCTGAGCAAACCCAGCTTCATAAACGTTCTCTCTGGCTACATCTCAATGAAGTAGAAGCAGCTTGGGAAATGTAGGGTTTTGGGGAAACTCAGGATACAGCAGTGGCACGAGCAGCAGCGGGGGGACTGTCCAGTCCCCTGCACAGGGTGTGTGTGTGTGTGTGTGTGTGTGTGTGTGTGTGTGCAGCTGGTGTGTGCTCTTCCTCACATACAGGCTGCTACATTGTGGGACACATTTGGAAGAGATTGGAGCGCACATTCTATTTAAGCGTATGATGAAACCAAAGAAGACAACCTCGACATTTACAAAAATTTGCCTCTCTTTGAACACATTTCTGACTTGGGTCTGAAGTAACAGAGCTGGAGTCATGTGTGAGATTCACTTTCCCTGGCCTGCCAGAAGTGCCCTCCTGCCTCAAGCTCGCCCCAGATGGGCACCTTGGCACGGGACTATGTCTGGCTCTTGCAAGAGCCCTCACCCATTTTGAATTCTGTGAGTTCTGCTGATTTCCAATTTTTAAAAAATGTCTCTTTGAGATACATAAAAATGGTGCCCATGAATGGGGTGAGAAGTAATATTGTATAATGTTTAAATCACGTTAAGCATCTCTGTTTCCTAAAATATTTATTTCCTTATGGGGAAAACTTGTGAAATTCACTCTTCTACATTTTAAATGCATAGCATGTTGGTGTTATCTGTAGGAACCCTACCTACTGCACAACAGCCCACCAGAACTTCCTATTTTTCACTAACTTGGTAGCACTGACCACCCCACCCCATCCACTATGACCTCTCTCCAGTCCCTCCAGCAGCCTATCAACGTTTTTATATTCTACATTGCTGTACCACTTCAAAGGCAAATGCCCTCAATTAATCTTTCTCCTATTATGTTTTCCCAAATAGATTATTTTCTATTATATATGACAGAACAATTCAGTAGAGGCATGTTTGATGGCTAAATGAATTAAAGTGAAAACAACAAATTAAATACCACATGGCCCCATCTTGATCTGCTCCTGACACCTAAATGACTTTGAAATTTATTTTATTTTAAACTTCGGTGCAGGTCAGATCATGGATATTAATTTTGAACAATATTATTCTAGCCTGACTCATAGTAGTCCTGTAAAGATTTGATAATTTATATTTTCGTCACAGTGCAAAGCTACTAGAATCAAATAGGCCCGTTATTTTAAGCATGATATAAATGAAACTATTGGGTCAAAGGGGAAAAGCCTGGTTTAGGTTAACTTGAGTTTATAACTATTACACAGATCAAGAATCCCACAGTACGGGTACACAGCCTAGGATCACCCACACACAACTGGGTGATCATCTTGGTAGACAGATGTTGGTACTGAAGGACCATGTGTCAAAACAGAAAGAAAGGAAGTTTTATCCCACCCTTCAAAGAACTTTGTTATTCTTTGGAAGCACAAAGAGGTACCTAGCTTTTGACACATCTCTGCAATTCGTGTCTGTCTTCTTTGGAAATCAGCATTCTACAACCATCTCAACATCTATGGAGGAAGGGACTCCGACTAGAAACCTGGAGTTTCACATCCTGTGGCAAACACCTACCAGTTGTAATTTAGACTTCTAAATCAGTCTACCCTAAGACATGTCAAGGGCAGTCGACAAGGCTCCTGACACTTTAAAACTATTTATACAATAGATTTTAAATTCTTATAAAATACTTACCTGTCATTTAAGACCAACAGAAGTCAAGTAAAATAAGCTCCCTAACAAAAATTATTACTTTTTTTTCAGGAAAAACTGAAGCAATAACAATATGTGAGATTTGACTCTCTTTACACTGTCAAGTAAAATAAGCTCCCTAACAAAAATTATTACTTTTTTTTCAGGAAAAACTGAAGCAATAACAATATGTGAGATTTGACTAACTCTTTACAGTGCACACGATTCTATGAGCCGGTTGAATTATGCATAATTTTTCTTTCCGAAAGTCATAAACTAATTCCTGGGAGAATTTAGCATGGGGTCCAGGACATAAGATTGTCAAATTGATACTGCCTTCTCCATACCACCAATTATCACTCAAACCCACTCATGAGAACTACAGGAGTTTAATACAAATGCTTGGTATCCTGCGTCCAAGTACAGTCACCCCTTGAGATATGTCTGAATTCATGCTTTTGTATTCTTTAAATAACATAAACAGGATTCACTCCCTTACTGCTGTTACAGCTACAGCAGAAGATGCATGCAACAACAAGAATAAAATCAGAATGGAAAATGAACATGCACTACAAAAACTTCCTACAGATTCTGCATTGGCAAATGTAGCAACTTAACATTGCTTTTGGCTGAAATGTGAATCTAGCTATTCTGTGATGCAGTGAGGGAAATGTAAGTTCACTGCCGACTTCAAGTGATTCCAAGGTTGTGTCACTGAACACTAGCTGGCTCCCTCCACACCAGCTGGGAGAATGTTTTGTTTCCTGGATGATTCAGCTCGTGCTGAAGGCACAGGAGAGTGAAGAATAGCAGGCATTTCTCACAAATACAGGAAAGAAGGGAAGCTGTTGTTGGAATAAACAATAAGCATCTGTATGTGCACAGAGATTCTCCTAATGATCAAGCATAGATATTTACATAACTTAGGTTTTTACAAGTCTTTTGCTCTCTCCCCCTCTTCCTCCTGTTTGTCTTTCTGTCTCTCTCTCAATATGATTGTTTAAATATGACTATGTAAGTGAACTCATGTAGATGTGTTCATACAAGTGAGTACATACACATAGATAAAATTAGCTCTGTTCAAAAGATTTTCAATTTATCTTTTGTCTTGGTTGCAATTGTAAATACTAATTTTAACATTGATAATTCAATATAACCTTTTCAGCGAGTCCAAAGTTGAGCTCTAGAAGGTTCATTTCTTTAAAAACTATAAACTTTAGGCTTCCATATAAAGCAGTAATACTGAACACGAGTGGTGGACAGAGATCGCTGCAGAGGCTCCCTTCTCACCCAGGCCCGTTCCAAGGCTCTCTAGCTTTATCACATAACTGAAGAAAAGTGGTAACATTATTATTCAAAAACATTCTAAATATCTGAGGGCAGACACTCACGTGTCTCTTTCAGATCTTATTTAAACAATAATCTACGTGATACTGAAAATTAACGACTGTAAAGCATTTGAAATATTTACAATTTTATTTGTGAGAGAAGCAAATGTAAATTTCAGTATATTGTTAGAATCTTTAGCTAGAATATATATATCACCCGGATGAAAGGCCAAGCAAACAGTGGACACTGTAAGTAGCTGAAGTTGATATATATGTATAATTTAAATATTATATGCTTGTCTGTATTCATACATCATAATAATTATAACAATCTATCTCTATCTCCCAACACACTTGATTTATTTAGCAACATTACCTAAGAAATTTGGAGCCAAAATGCTTGTGATCTATAAGATTTATGACCAGGGATTAAATAGATAAATCACTAAGGTAAAACTATCCCTGAGCCTTGTACTTTGGATGAAGGTTGCATCAACCTTTAGTTCTTTTTCTTTGTTTTTTCCCTGAATAACCTGTGGAAATTCAAATTCCTTCCTTTGGATTATATGTGAATATTCAGTGTATGCCTCAAAGTTCCTAACTCAGATTATAACAGCAGTTACAATCATTTTTAAAAGGATAGTTTCCCTTGGTCACTGTTTAATGATTGTTTTTTTCATGAAAACATTTAGGTAGCTACATTAAAATGGACTTTTCCCATCATAATTGTGCAGATAAACCATGATAATTTTCTAGATTATTTTCACTGTGAAAGATTGTATACTTCTAACCACAAAATTTAAAGGACTTACAAACTAACTGAATTATCACAGATTCTTTTTCTGCCTATAAAATATCACAATTAAATCTAAAAAGTAAAAAATGCTACTATTCATATTCTAGTTGTACTATTAAGGATAAAATTATTATTTAGTTATTTAATAATTATTTACTGCAATTAGAAAACCTCTTAAAATTGAATAATCTCTAAATGCTTCATGTTACTGGTACCATTATTGTGTGGTTTTATTTATTTATTTATTTATGGGGGGGTACTGGGGATCGAACTCGGGTCCTTGTGCTTGCAAGGCAGGCGCCGGAACCACTGAGCCAAATCAACATTAACATAATTAAACCAAACTGCAATAAATACATTGTCCTAGATTTTGTTAATTCATCTTAAAAATGATTTCATAAGGTAGATATTATTGCCCCCATTTTATAGATAAATATTATCAGTGTATACCAGGGCCCAAATCCCTTTTTCAAAGACCAATCGTGCTTTATTGTTTGATGCATTTATTTTTTTATCCAGGAACAATGCAATTAGAACCCATAACCACAGTAGAAACGGAAAATAGAAGAATGAATCATTTGTGCCTATAATCACTGAAGCAAGATAGTTTCCCCAATGGCCTCTCTTCATTTATGTTGGTCAGTCTGCATGGGAAGTCCATAGGGTCTATGTATTCACTCAAATATATATTTTACAAATGTATTAGGTTAGGATTCACATAGCTCAGTGAATGGCCAGCTCTGCTGAACTGAGGGCTATGCGAATACTGATGACATCTTGGTGGAGAAGGAGGTGAGACGAGATGGGCTGAGAAAGAACCCTCAGATACACCGCCTCCACTCTTCTCAGTGGAGGTTTGTACACAACAATGAACTTCACGTGTACCAGAGGCTTTGGGGACGCCACTCGGCCCTGGTAACTGAAGGCGCTCTGCATGTGTGACCTCATGCTGCAGTTGTGTGACACATAGCAAGTTTCATGTCATATTAAACCCACAGATGTCTGAGTAACCATTCTTATTTATTTTCCAATAGCT